ATAATAATAATAATTATTATTATTATTATTAAATAATATTTAAACTAGGGCTGTCAAAATAAACATTAAAGCATTAAATAAAAATAAAAAAACGATGGAATTTAAATATTTAAAACGGTTTATGCTTTTAACATTAACACATTAAAAGTTTAATTCTGCACTCTCTCTCCAAAACCCTCCCAAACTATTTTTTAATTAATAAAAGGAACACATTAACTATATAAATTTTTTTTAGATCATTAACCATTTAAATACTTGTAGAATTGAGGTGGAAGACACTAATGTTTTCTTGCAGAGCTGCTCTATAGCCGAATCTATTTAGTTTCATAATTGTCAAATTTTGCAGCATGTTATTGAACTGAACTGAATCAACACTGAATTAACTTGACTTGAGCGGAAAAATTACACCATCGTCTTCAGTAGAGCTGTTTATAGCTGAACTGAACTTGCATCATAACTGATAAACTTCACTGTTATTGCACTCCATAATGGCAATCTTGTCTTTTTAGAATAGCTTTACATTTGAATTTGTCTCATATTTGATGAAGTTGGCATCACTGAATCTGTTACTTCCCTGAAGCTGCTTTGAATTGTATAAAGCATTAAAAAAGGGTTGATACACTTACAACTGTAGTTTTAATAAATTACTTTGATACCACTTAATCTTTTATATTTACAATCCAATGGAGAAAATAAAGGTGGTCGTGCTACTTTAGCAAACGCTGCAGCAGTCATCTGAACGCGTCCTTCATCAGAGGCGTATATCTTCAGGTCATGCCTGTATGTGCTGTGCAGACGGAGAAGGCCACAGCCGGGAAAGCCAGCGTAATCGCCTGAGAACAAGGATAGACAACAATAAAGAGCACCCTAGTGAAAAATAAATATACTAAAATGTACTTGAAATACATTAATTTCATGCCAAGTCTACTACAAATACATTTACATATTTATGTACTTAATAAAAATACCCTGCAATTGTAATTTTGGCATACTTAAAATTGGAACAACTAATTTTGTTCTTAATGCACTTTAATTATGCAGAAGTAGTGCTGAAATCCAACTAAAGATATACTAAAGTATATTTGTTTGTTCTAAAGTGAAACTATTGCAAGTATACTTCAGATACACTTTAAATATCTTGCATTTAAAGACAGTATTATTCAAAGATCAAACAATCCTCATCAATAGTGACTTTAAAACACATTTTAGGCTTAATATTAAGAAATGTGCATTGTGCGCAAGTAGTACTCCTTTTTATATCAGTTAGTCTCAAGCGATATGTCAGTAAATGAAAAAAAAGTCACTTGCATTTGAAGTAATTCTTTCGTTATCTAATGTTTTTAATAAAATGTAACTGATCTTACACTTAAAACACTGTTTGTTTACATAAAACCATGTAAACAAACAGAAGGCCAAAAGAAACAGCATAAAAATCAAATCATAAGCAGCCAAAAGATACATGCATGACCATCTTTACCTTCCTCTTCACTGGATGTTTTAGGGCAGCCATGTGGCAGATATGTTAACTGAACCTTGCGATTAATGCCAGAGAAATGGCCGTACCTGAACAAACAAAATGAGATGTTAGAAATGAGACTGAAATATAGCTGAATATTTGAATATAACTGGGCCAAGCATGATATGATCAAAAGTGGCATTAATTTGGAATGGATAGCATTACATTACATTATTTTAAACGAATCTACCCTCCAAGATTACTGTTATAAACATGAGCCGCGTCCAAAAGGTAAAGGGGGAGGTGTTGCTTCAATTTATAACAATATTTTCAGTATTTCTCAGAGGGCGGGCTTCAAGTATAACTCGTTTGAAGTAATGGTGCTTCATTTAACATTATCCAGAGAAACAAGTGCTAATGATAAATCCCCTGTGATGTTTGTACTGGCTGCTGTATACAGGCCACCATACAGAATTTATTAAAGAATTTTCTGATTTTTTATCCGAGTTAGTGCTGGCTGCAGATAAAGTTTTAATTGTTGGTGATTTTAATATTCATGTTGATAATGAAAAAGATGCATTGGGATCAGCATTCATAGACATTCTGAACACTATTGGGGTTAGACAACACGTGTCAGGACCTACTCATTGTCGAAATCATACTCTAGATTTAATACTGTCACATGGAATTGATGTTGATGGTCTTGAAATTATGCAGCCAAGCGATGATATCTCAGATCATTATCTAGTCTTGTGCAAACTTCATATAGCTAAAACTGTAAATTCTACTCCTTGTTACAAGTATGGTAGTAGAACCATCACTTTTACCACAAAAGACTAAAAGAAAGTAATCTTCCTGATTTATCTCAATTCCTCAGCATATCCAATAGCTCAGAAACTATGGACTCTCTCTTTTCTAGCATTTTAGATACGGTTGGTCCTTTACGCTTAAGGAAGATTAAGAAAAACAGTCTGACATTGTGGTGAGCACACTCACACCCTAAAGAGAACAGCACGGAAAATGGAGCGCAGCTGGAGGAAAACAAAACTAGAGGTATTTCGTATTGCATGGCAGGAAAGTAACCTTTCCTACAGAAAAGCATTAAAAACTGCTAGATATGATTACTTTTCATCTCTTTTAGAAGAAAACAAACATAACCCCAGGTATTTAATTCAATACAGTGGCTAAATTAACAAAAAATAAAGCATCAACAGGTGTTGACATTTCCCAACAGCACAACAGTAATGACTTTATGAACTACTTTACTTCCAAGATCGATAATATTAGAGATAAAATTGTAACCATGCAGCCGTCAGCTACAGTATCGCATCAGATATTTCCTCTATAGGAGAGGAAGAATTGTATAAACTTGTTAAAGGGTTAGTTTACCCAAAAATGAAAATTAGCCCATTAATTACTCGCCCTCAAGTCATCCTAGGTGTATATGACTTTCTTCTTTCAGACGAATCCAGTCGGAGTTATATTAAAAATATAAGTTATATGTCTTTTATCTGCATGCATCAGTCCAAAAGAAGTTAAATATAGAATAGAACAAAGGCCTCCTGTAGCGAATCGATGCGTTTTTGTAAGAAAAATATCCATATTCAAAACGTAATAATCACTTTAATCTAGCTTGCGCTCACTGTTGTACACTGGAGTTCCGGGAGGATGACGTATGAGGTCGGCTTTGTGCAAACGCCGCTCAGAAGTGACGCATGCGGAAGCGAAGGGGAGAGATCAAAACAAAACAACGGTCACTTATTAGAAGTACAAAATGAGGATTTGTAAAGAAGGATGTCGGAGGATTTCAATATAAACCAAGAGGAGACTGGTTGTCCTTTGCTTCCATTAACAAACGTTGGTTTTCATGAGACTCATCAGCGCATGCGCAACGCTGACCTCATACGTCATGCTCCCGGATCTGCTTCCGTGTAGGACTGTTGGCGCAAGCTATATTAAAGTGATTATTACGTTTTGAATATGGATATTTTTATTACAAAAACACATCAATTCGCTACAGGAGGCCTTTGTTCACCCCCCGGAGCTGTGCGAGACACTTTTTTTATGGATGGGCGCTTTTTATTTAACTTCTTTTGGACTGATGCATGCA